CAAGGTTCCAAATACTTATATTTTAATAAAAGCTGACAATGGCCTGAAGCTGTCAATAAACGCTTAGAGAAGTGATTCCCTAAGTGTTCTATATCGACCCCTAGGGGTCTATAACAACCTGCAAGGGGTGTACGTCAGCGAAAAAAAATTTGGGGTCCATGAAATGAAAATGGGGGTCCACGATAGTGGATCTCAACACATACACTGATAGTACCTATTTACTTACATCATACTATCTTATGATATCAAAACATATACATTATTTATAAAAGTAGCTATGAAGTAAAAAATTTATTATATATGTTTATAAAATTGTGTAAGTTGTAAGATGTTGGTATTCATTCGCTTTGTGGTCGCAATACATTTTGAACTTGTAAAAACCTGAGAGTTACAGTCTCAAAGCTTCGCTACCTTGCACTGACTTGTTCAATTCTTCACGTACGTTTATTCGTTTCCTGAATCTTGAAAAGGAAAGTGCTAAGAAAATATTTAAAAAAATATAAACAGATTGTATATCACACAAATTATAGTGAGTCAGTGTTATTTTGTTTGAGAGTGCTGGAGAAAAGTAAGTACATTATTTTTATTTAATTTTAGTTTTGTACTCGCAGTTAGCAAAGATAGATAAATTACGCCAATCATGACTTTAGTTATTAGTAGTTTAATATTCAATCATGCAAAATTACACGAGTACTCCTCAATAGTTTCTTTTTGAAAGTTTAAGCAATCGGTATTATAATTACAGTGCAATCTCCGTAATTCGAGCTACATGTTGGAAGAAGATGTTCGAATTACGGTGTGTTTTCGGAAAAATCAAAAAATATTTTTAATATACGGCTGCTAGATTTTCTGTCTTATAACACATAACATACATAAACACTCACGCCTGTCACCCAGAGCGATAGGCTGAGACTACAGACTTCCATTTAGCACGATCCTGACGTACCTTTCTCGCCTTTTCCACATCCATATACTTACGCATACATGCAGGTCGGTTAAGGATACCCTTAATTTGGCCCATTTTTAGTATATCGCCAATTTGGTCGACAAACGTCCCTTTCCGACTCTTCCATTCACTTCTGCAACATATATTTGCTTTGTCAGTCTTTCCGCATTCATTCTTTCTACATGACCAAACCACCGAAGCATTTCTTTCTTAATCCTTGTCACCGCATCATCTTGCAAACCACACTCTTCTTTTATCACGTAGTTTCTCACCCTGTCTCTCAGATTCAGCCCTAACATACTCCTTAGCGACCGCATTTCTACTGCATTTATTCTACTCTCGTGCTTCTTCTGCCACACCCAACTTTCACTACCATACATTAAAGTAGGGGTAATGGCTAAATTTACTAGCAACCAAAGCTGGTAATTCTGGCGGTAAGAATGATGAGAATGAAAGAAAAAAGGCAGTGTTTAAACGTTTAAATAAGAGAGTAAAGGAATTAGTTGAAGGGAAAAAGCAAGAAAGAACGGATAAGAATGATAGAAGAATATTGGATAACTTCCAGGCAAATATTAAAATGTTCTGGAAACTCGTAATAAATACCAGGGGGACTTTCAAAACAGCCTAGATTGAATGCGATACGAGACGAGAATGGCTGTATACTAAATGATGAAGTGTTGAGTCTAAAGAGATGGAAGGAATATTTTGAAAGCGTATTTATGAGTGAGGAGAAGTGTGAACTAAATGAAATAGAAATTCCGAAAGAAGATGAAAGAGATAGGGAGATAAATATAGATGAAATAATGAAAGCAATGAAAAGCATGAAAGTAGGTAAGGCAGCCGGATATGATAGAGTTTCACTCGAAATGCTAAGGGCTGGAGAGGACGTGGTGGTGGGCCTGCTGTACACCTTGTTTAATTTATGTTGGGAACTAAAGCGGGTACCGGGAGACTGGTGCAAAGCTGTGATAGTCCCAATATATAAGGAAAAAGGGTCACAGCAGGACTGCAAAAACTACCGTGGTATCAGCCTTCTTAGCATTGTGGGAAAACTGTATGCTAAGGTACTAATTGAAAGAGTTACGAAAGTAACTGATGAAAAAATTTGGGATGTGCAAGCTGGATTTAGAAAGGGAATGAGGTGTACAGAAGTTTTTGGCGAAAAACCAAAAAGTTTTTTGAGATATTGAACGACGAGTGTAGGAAATAAAGTAAATGGGGCTCTACACTCTATTGTAAAAAGTCAGAATGTGTCAAAAAAGGCACGTATGGCAATTCACAGTGCTGTATTAGTCCCTACTTTAACGTATGGTAGTGAAAGTTTTCTGTCTTATTTAAATAATTTAATGTTGCCCATAGATGACTGATGCCATGTCCGAATCTAAAAAGAAATGTAGATAGTACAGTACAGTACAGTGTCGATTATTTGAAATTTGGCTTCATTCCATCATTGCCGGACAAACAATTGCCTATGTGCCTTTTATGCAACAAAGTTTTGGGCAATGACGCTATGAAAACATCTAAACTGCAAGATCATCTGAGAAGATGCCACCCCGATAAAACAGATAAAGATTATTATTTTATATTTAAGATTATTATATTTATATTTGACAGGCCTGTTGGTCTAGTGGTTAGTGACCCTGACAGCTATGCCGGAGGTCGTGGGTTCGATTCCCACCCAGGACAAATGTTTGTGTGATGAGCACGATCATTTGTTCTGTGTCTGGGTGTAATTTATCTATAATATTTACGTATTTAGAAATATATAAGTATGTTTATCAGTTGTCTAGTACCCATAACACAAGCTCTGCTTAGCTTGGTACTAGATGGCGTTGTGTGATAGTTGTGGAATATTATTATTATTTTGGGTTATTAATAGAGTAATCACATCTGGTTGGGCTGGATAAATATATAATGGGAAAAATAAATATACTTAAATATATATTTAATATTATATTATTATTATTGTGTGGGGTATCTATATAGTTTTCTCATCTGGTTGGGATGTATACATATATAATTATAAACGAAAATGAAAAGATAAATATACATAAATATCAATAAAATAAAATAAATACAAATATACATAAATAAATAAAAGCCCAGCTAGATGGAAGCCCTTGGCAGGGGAGACCAAAGGGCCAAGGGTTAGGGGGAATGGGAAAGAAACCGGCGAACGATGCGAGCAGTATCAAGGAGCACCGCCTTCTGCATTTGAGCCCGGAGCGGTCCGTCACGGAGTCCCAGTCGCCTCAGATGACCAGAGAGGCTAACTGGGATTAGCCCATTCGCAGAGACGACTACAGGAATAATTTCGGCCGGCAAACCACCCCAATGTAGGTCACGTCGTGAGCCAGGTCCAGATATTTTGATTGCTTATCTGTTTCGGCTCTCACGAGGTTCTCGTCATACGGGATGGTAATGTCGACCAAAAATATCCTTGACTGTGCCCGGTCCATCAGCACAATATCAGGCTTATTTGCAAGAATAGTCCTGTCTGTGATGATGGCCCGGTCCCAGTAGAGCCTGGCGCGGTCATTTTCGAGCACGGCTTCCGGCAAGTACTTGTAATACGGCAATTTCCGGTCCACGAGACCGTATTTCAGAGCGAGCTCCTGGTGTAGAATTCTGGCTACTAGGTTGTGCCTGTGCAAGTACTCAGAGTTAGAAAGCGCCGAACAACCGGAGATGACATGCCTGAGTGACTCCCCGGGATGGCGACAAGCTCGACAGACGTCGACGGTGCCATCCTTTAGGATGTATCTCCGATAGTTGTTGGTCTTAATAACCTGATCCTGTATTGCACAGACAAAACCCTCGGTTTCCCCGAAGAGGTCACCGAAACGTAGCCAGTTGAGGGAGGCGACTGTATCTACGAAGGGCTCATGTAGAGCCTTGTAGTACCTCCCGTGGAGCTCCTTCTCCTTCCATACGGTCTCCCGGTCGGAAATGCTAAGCACTGCTGGGTCCTGCCATTGCTCGTTGGCTAAGGATAGAGGGGTAAGCCCTTTATCAATAGAAATGACGTCATTATAGAATGGATCATCCGATCTCGCCAAGAAGTATTGACGGAGACTGCACACTTCGCGATTATGCATGGTGAGCGTGCTCAGAAAGCCACGCTCACCATGCTTTCGCGGCAAATACAGCCTCATTACCGACGATCTTTGATGATGCATCCTATGGGACGTCATGGTAGTGCGGACTTTTCTATCCAGGGCGTTAAGCTCAGTCTGAGTCCACCTGAGTATGCCAAAGGTATACATGAGGACAGGCATGACCCAACCGTTATATGCGTGTGTCTTATTCACACCGGACAAAAGGCTGTTAAGCACTTTGGTCAATCGTGCATAAAACACGTCGCAAAATGACTGTTTCATACCAGCCTCATCGATACCGATGTTCTGTGACATACCCAGGTATCAGTATGTTTCAGCCTCGGAAAGGGCCCTTAAGTTGACGGGCATAGATAAGTCTATGCCCTCAGAGTTAGCGACCCTTCCCCTTTCAACATGGAGGACCGCACACTTATCCGTCCCCTGATGTTTTAGCAATTCCGTAAGATGGGAGCGACTGGAGGCGAATAATTTGAGGTCATCCATATAGAAAAGGTGGGTCACTTTTGTACCTCCTTTCCGAAGCTGAAATCCCCTCCCGGAGCCCTCCAGTAAAGTACTGAGAGGGTTCAAAGAGAGGCAGAACCAGATTGGACTCAGACAGTCACCCTGGAATATACCCCTTCTTATCCTTATGCGGCTTTCCGCAGCCGGCATCCGCTCACCCAGATGACAGAGGATCGTACTCCACTGCCCCATACACTGGTCGAGGAAGTCTCAAACTATACAGTCATTCTTGTACAGCTCGAGGACCCTCTTTAGCCATGTATGGGGCACCGAGTCAAATGCCTTTCTGTAATAATAATAATAATAATAATAATAATAATAGCCCCCTAAACAACCACACGTCCTGATTGACCATCTAATCACGTGGGGGCGGACACACGAATGAGAAATTACTGGCGTGGCTAACGTGGCTCTGGAAACCCATAAATAAAATGGAGACTCGTTCTAAAAGTAAACGTATAGGGCCGCTACCCGGGGGCGATCGCCGGGGTGCACCTGGAGCTGACGCTGGGTGTCACAGCATGCGATCCGTCAGCGGTGAGGAGTTGAACAGGCGGGCTCCCACCCACAAAGATACTACAGCCGAACTCATTGACGATGGTGACAGACTGACGGACAGGACAGACACCCCTGTAGAACCATATAGTCCAAGCACAGTATCATACACACCCTCGAGGCCAACATCACCATCCATACCATCGACACCAACACCTCCATCACCCCCTATTACTAGTTTAAATACAGTTTCACCTACTCCGACCTTGAGTGCTGCGCGGGAGGTATCTACCTTCTTACCCGCGTCCACCAAGGCTGGAAAAGCAAGAGTTCGAATGAAATGGAGTAAAGAAGTAAATCTATTTATCATGAGAACTTATCTATACATTACTAAATTAGAGACCGATATGACCACGTACAGACAACAATTACACGCACATTTCACTCGACAATATCCAGAAATTACTGTTTCAGAACAAAGAATCTCAGACCAAAGAAGAACCATAGTTAGGAATAAACTTCTATCCCAAGAAGTTATAGATCAATTAAAAGAAGAAGTACGAACACAATTAATTCAAGAAGAAGCGACTAACAGCTATGTAGAAACTAATATCACACAAAACACAAGTGAAAATGATCGCCAAGTACAACCACAATTGCTCAGTCAATCACAACTCATTTAAACACAATCTCAGCCATGCGACCATTCACAAATATCACACACACTCCACACAAACCGAAACCGTAATCCTAACGCTAGAAAATGATATTGAGACCATAGTTGTCCCAGATCAACACTTAACAACAGGAACTACACTACACACCACACGCTGCATTTGCTTTGGCTTCGGCCCGTAAATGTAGTTGAAATCCAGCCTAGAGCTGAGAAGTGAAAACACTTACCGTAAATAATAATAATAATAAATAATAATTCTATTGGGACCGGGCCATCATCACAGACAGGACTATTCTTGCGAATAAGCCTGATATTGTGCTGATGGACCGGGCACAGTCAAGGATATTTTTGGTCGACATTACCATTCCGTATGACGAGAACCTCGTGAAAGCCGAAACAGACAAGCAAACAAAATATCTGGACCTGGCTCACGAGGTGACTGACATGTGGAGTGGTCTGCCGACCGAAATTATTCCTGTAGTCGTCTCTGCAAACGGGCTAATCCCAGTCAGCCTCTCGGGTCATCTGAGGCGGCTGGGACTACGTGGCGGACCGCTCCGGGTTCAAATGCAGAAGGCGGTGCTCCTCGATACCGCCCGCATCGTCCGCCGGTTTCTTTCCCTTTCCCCCCTAACCCTCGGCCGTTTGGTCTCCCCTGCCGAGGGCCTCCATCTGGTTGGGCTTTTACTTATTTATGTACTTTTATATTTATTTTATGTTATTGATATTTATGTATATTTATCTTTTCATTTTCATTTATAATTATATATTTATAGAACCCAACCAGATGAGAAAACTATATAGATACCCCACAAATAATAATAATAACAACAAAGTAAATAACAAAGTACAGGCGTAGGGAAGTGACGACCATATCGCCCGCTGAAGAAACAGTTAAGTGACAAAACTGCTACGTCGGTGCAGTCAGTCAGCGCCTTGCCAAGAGGTGTGAGCGCCGTGCCACGGCAGTACTCAGGGTGCAAAGGCCCGTTTGTGCTTACGGCCGTACAATGATACAATGAAACGGTGCCGGGCCTGCGCGTCTCCCGTTAATTGGCGCCCAAAAATTGATGATGGATATGATTGGAAAACGTATAGGGCCGCTGCCTGGGGGTCGCCGGGGCGCGTCTGAAGCTGGCGCTGGACGCGGCAGCATGCGGGCCGTCAGCCGAGCGCGAGGAGCTGCAAGATCACCTAACAGCCCCCCGCATCCATCCCCCCCGCCTTGATGTCGGCAGGGTCCTCTCGGACTCGGCAAGCGGCATCCACCGCTGGTGGAGTGCGCCGTATGCGTTGGACAAAGGATATGAACGCAAACGCATTGCGGGCGTACTATAGGGCGAAAGGGGAAGAAACTGCGGGGATAGCGTATCGGTCTCGGATGCATTGCTTTTTTGCTGAGCTGGAGCCGTCTATTCCCGTCACGGAACAAAACCTGGCAGACCGAGTTCGGTACATCATGCGCTCGAAAATATTTGATGATGTCGAGCTCGAACGACTACGATGTAAGGCCATTCCCTCAACGAATGAATTGGCTACGGCTGGGGATGTGGCTCCTCAGGCGACAGACCAGCTGCCACGCGTAGAAGCCGCCATGGATCTTCCAGTTGTGGTTGATTCAGACGATGATGAAATGTTCTCCCACGAACTAGAGCAAATGAGGAGTATATTGGAAGAGGCGATTTTGGAAACGCGCAGCATGCCTCTCGAAAATCGACCGCGACTTCCCCGCATACCCCTAAGCAAGCGAAATCGGGCTGTCGTGAGGGCTCTTAACCCAATGCTGGTAACTTATTTGGAAGCCAGCCGGGACCTTTGCGAGACGGACTCAGTTCTTTTTGGCGCCGCAGTGGCAGCTTGCCGTATTATTGGCGCCAAACTTCCCATGGCTGGACGCGCTACTAAACAAAGTAGCGCCATCCCAGCCTGGAGAAAAAGAATTGAGGACCGTATCGCAAAAGCAAGGGCCCTTATCGGCAGACTGATAAGCTTCAGGTCGGGTAATAATAGACCGAGGGTTGTGCGCACCGTTAGAATGGAGTTTGCTGGGACAAATATCAGTTTTTCCCAGCCGGATATCACGCAGAAACTAACGGAGCGCATAGACGACCTTTTTTTTTTTGCGGATGGAAAATCATCTAATGACGCCTTTCGCTCTGGGTGGAGCGTAAGGGAGTGTCAGACTTTTACTGACTAAAAACCATCCGTGTTCCTTCAGTGCCCTTACGTTCCGGAGCCGCGATATCTCTTTCGAACAGCCCGCAGCCCCGGAGCGCATAGACGACCTGAAGCAAAAGATTGCTGCTCGGGGGAAGCGGATTCGCCGATTTACCGAGAGGTCAAGGCGGTTCAACCAGAATCGTCTCTTCCAGAGTGATCAGAAGAGGCTCTACATATCATTGGAGCGACCAGAGGTATGTGGAGCGGGCCCAGGACCAGATCAGGCTAACATTTCAGGATAACATGTCACATTTTGGCGTGGCCTGTGGTCAGAGCCCGTAAACCACAGCGAGGGCCCTTGGACGGAAGTTGTGGCGAGTCAGTGTCACCCCGTCATCATAACGCCGGATGACGTAGCTGAGGTGGTCCGTAGAGCCCCGAACTGGAAAAGTCCGGGACTCGACGGACTGCATCACTACTGGCTGAAGGGGTTCATGGTGTGTCACGCTGTGCTCGCCCGTCAGTTTCAAGAGGCTCTCAACCAGAAGTCGCTCCCTAGCCTCTTCACTACTGGGATCACTCATTTGGTTCCTAAAGACCAGGTTACCACAGACCCGAGCAAATACCGCCCCATTACGTGTCTACCCACCATATATAAGACACTGACATCCATTTTGAGCGCGAGAATCACTCGTCACCTGGAGCTAAATCAGGTGATGTCACGCGCTCAAAATGGATGTCGGGCGGTGTTCGTGGAACTAAGGAACCACTCCTCATTGACGCGGTCATTGGCAAAGTGGTGAAACGCAACCGTCGGAACTTCTCCGCCGCCTGGATAGAATACAGAAAGGCATTCGACTCGGTGCCCCATACATGGCTAAAGAGAGTCCTCGAGCTGTACAAGATAGACTGTACAGTGAGAGACTTCCTCGAGCAGTGTATGGGGCAGTGGAGTACGATCCTTTGTCATCTGGGTGAGCGGATGACGGCTGCGAAGAACCACATAAGGATAAGAAGGGGTATCTTCCAGGGCGATTGTCTGAGTCCAATCTGGTTCTGCCTCTCCCTGAACCCTCTCAGTACCTTACTGGAGGGATCCGGGAGAGGATTTCAGCTACGGAAAGGAGGGACAAAAGTGACTTACCTTTTCTATATGGATGACCTTAAGTTATTCGCCTCCAGTCGCTCCCATCTTATGGAATTGCTAAAAATCACTTGTGAGTTTAGCAATTCCATTGGAATGGAGCTGGGGACGGATAAGTGTGCGGTCCTCCATGTTGAGAGGGGAAGGGTTGCTAGCTCTGAGGGCATAGATTTATCTATGCCCGTCAACTTACGGACCCTTTCCGAGGCTGAAACATACTGATACCTGGGTATGTCACAGAACATCGGTATCGATGAGGCTGGTATGAAACAGTCAGTTTTCGACGTGTTTTATGCACGCTTGACCAAAGTGCTTAATATCCTTTTGTCCAGTGTGAATAAGACACACGCATATAACGGTTGGGTCATACCTGTCCTTATGTATACCTTTGGCATACTCAGGTGGACTCAGACTGAACTTAACGCCCTGGATAGAAAAGTCCGCACTACCATGACGTCCCATAGGATGCATCATCCGAGATCGTCGGTAATGAGGCTGTACTTGCCGCGAAAGCATGGTGGGCGTGGCTTTCTGAGCGCGCTCACTATTCATAATCGTGAAGTGTGCAGCCTCCGTCATTACTTCCTGGCGAGATCGAATGATCCATTCTATAATGACGTCATTTCTAGTGATAAAGGGCTTACCCCTCTATCCTTGGCCAACGAGCAATGGCAGGACCCAGCAGTGCTTAGCATTTCCGACCGGGAGACCGTATGGAAGGAGAAGGAGCTCCACGGGAGGTACTACAGGGCTCTACATGAGCCCTTCGTAGATACAGCCGCCTCCGTCAACTGGCTACATCTCGGTGACCTCTTCGGGGAAACCGAGGGTTTTGTCTGTGCAATACAGGATCAGGTTATTAAGACCAACAACTATCGGAAATACATCGTAAAGGATGGCACCGTCGACGTGTGTCGAGCTTGTCGCCATCCCGGGGAGTCACTCAGGCATGTCATCTCCGGTTGTTCGGCGCTTTCTAACTCTGAGTACTTGCACAGGCACAACCTAGTAGCCAGAATTCTACACCAGGAGCTCGCTCTGAAATACGGTCTCGTGGACCGGAAATTGCCATATTACAAGTACTTGCCGGAAGCCGTGCTCGAAAATGACCGCGCCAGGCTCTACTGGGACCGGGCCATCATCACAGACAGGACTATTCTTGCAAATAAGCCTGATATTGTGCTGATGGACCGGGCACAGTCAAGGATATTTTTGGTCGACATTACCATTCCGTATGACGAGAACCTCGTGAAAGCCGAAACAGATAAGCGAACAAAATATCTGGACCTGGCTCACGAGGTGACCGACATGTGGGGTGGTTGGCCGACCGAAATTATTCCTGTAGTCGTCTCTGCGAATGGGCTAATCCCAGTCAGCCTCTCGGATCATCTGAGGCGACTGGGACTCCGTGACGGACCGCTCCGGGCTCAAATGCAGAAGGCAGTGGTTCTCGATACCGCCCGCATCGTCCGTCGGTTTCTTTCCCTTTCCCCCTAACCCTCGGCCGTTTGGTCTCCCCCTTGAGAGAACTGTACAGATACCCCAAAAATAATAATAATAATATTCCACAGCTATCACACAACGCCATCTAGTCCCAAGCTAAGCAGAGCTTGTGTTATGGGTACTAGACAACTGATAAACATACTTATATATTTCTAAATACATAAATATTATAGATAAATAATAAATAATATAGATATTATGGATATGTAATAATAATGTAATCTATACAAGCGGCGGAGAAGTTCCGACGGTTGCGTTTCACCACTTTGCCAATGAACGCGTCAATGAGGAAAGAAAGAAAGAAAGAAAGATTTATTGCAGCACGCCACAAATATCAGTAGGCACTTAAATTTTGACACATCAATTATAAACATTATAACAAACAAAAACAAAAATAGGAAACAAAACCACAATTTGTCGGATAAAACAATTTAAAAGTATTAATACTTATAAATTATATTTTAAAAAAAATAGAAAGACAAAAAGAATTGTTTCTCATATTGTACGAGTATGTTGTGGCGCGTCATACAAACGGACCTCACTCAGCTTATGCTCTCGCCGGAGCAACAGCGCTGGTTTTCAGTGGACCCGAACGGATAATAACGTACGGACGTCCGCGAGTGATCATAATAATATTCTAAAACCAATCCGTCTAACTATGCTGAAATTATGATTTCAAACCAAACAAAGGTATGTACATGTGCTTATTATACATGCACTTTATTTTTATTTTCAAAAATTTTGTTACCAGTGTGCTCTTAACTTTATTAATTAATATGTTACATTATTTCAAAAGTTATTATTACGTTGTATTTGTTTTCTTATATTAATATATGTATATTTTAACACATATTTCTAAAACTTATACATAAATTACCTCAGTTATTGATTGACGACACTAAATTACACTTTTTTTTAGCCTACGGTCAGTGGAACTATCCGAACAGTATCCAATTTAAGGTTATATTATCATCACTCAACTTTATTAGTTGCGACCTTGTCCGCCTGTGCTATGTGCCATTTTGAGAGTGGTTCCTTGATTCTACGACCGCCGTCCCGACATCCATTTTGAGCGCGCGACATCACCTGATTTGAGTCCAGGTGACGAGCGATTCTCGCGCTCAAAATGGATGTTGGTGTCTTGTATATAGTCGGTAGACACGTGATGGGGCGGTATTTGCTCGGGTCTGTGGCACCCTGATCTTTAGGAACCAAATGAGTGATCCCAGTAGTGAAGAGGCTTGGGAGCGACTTCTGGTTGAGAGCCTCTTGAAACTGTCGAGCGAGCACAGCGTGACACACCATGAACCCCTTCAGCCAGTAGTGATGCAGCCCGTCAAGCCCCGGACTTTTCCAGTTCGGGGCCCTACGGACCGCCTCAGCTACGTCATCCGGCTTTATGATGACGGGGTCCATGGGCGTAATACCCACACACTGACTCGCCACAACTTCCGTCCAAAGGCCCTCGTTGTGGTTTACGGGCTCTGACCACAGGCTGTGCCAGAATGCGACCGTGTCGGCCTGATTTGGTGCTGGGCCCGTTCCACTTACTATTGGTCGCTCCAATGATTTGTAGAGCCTCTTCTGATCACTCTGGAAGAGACGATTCTGGTTGAACTGTGTCGACCTCTCGGTATATCGCCGAATCCGCTTTCCCCAAGCAGCGATTCTTTGCTTCAGGTCGTCTATGCGCTCCGTCAGTTTTTGCATTATATCCGGCTGGGACAAACTAACATTTGTCCCAGCAAACGCTATCCTGACGGTGCGCACAATCCTTGGCCTGGTATTGCCTGACCTGAAGCATATCAGTCTGCCGATGAGGGCCCTAGCCTTTGCGATACGTTCTTCAATTCTTATTCTCCAGGCTGGGATAGCACTACTTTGTCCAGTAGCGCGTCCAGCCGTGGAAAGTTTGGCGCCTATAATACGGCAGACTGCCAGTGCGGCGCCAAAAAGAATTGAGTCCGTCTCGCAAAGGTCCCGGCTGGCTTCCAAATAGGTAACCAGCATTGGGTTCAGAGCCCTCACGACAGCCCGATTGCGCTTGCTTAGGGCTAAGCGGGGAAGTCGCGGTCGATTTTCGAGAGGCGTACTGCGCGTTTCCACAATCGCCTCCTATAATGTACTCCTCATTTGCTCTAGTTCCAGTTCCTGGACGACTGTTCCATCATCGTTTGAATCAACCACAACTAGCGTATTCACGGCGGCATACACATTTGCCGTTTGCTCAGCAAGTTGTGGCGCCGCATCCTCAGCCGCAGCATTTTCACCCGATGAAGGAACAGCCTCACGTCGTAGCCGTTCGAGTTCGGTGACATCAAATGTATTTGAGCGCAAGATATACCGAACTCGGTCTGCCAGGTTTTGCTCGGTGACGGTTACAGATGGCTCCAGCTCAGCAAAAAGTCGATGCATCCTTGCCCGATACGCAAAACCTCCAGTTTCTCCCCCTTTCGCCCTAAAATACGCCCGCAATGCGTTGCTGTTCATCTGGGTTGTCCAACGCATGCGGCGTACTCCACAAGTGGCGGGTGCCGATTGCTGGGCCCGCGAAGACCCTGCCGACACCAAACCAGCTGGTGGGGATGATGGATGCGAGGGGTTGCTGGGTGGTCGTGCAGCACCTCGCGCTCGGCTGGCGGTTCGCATGCTGTCGCGTCCAGCGCCAGCTCCAGACGCGCCCTGGCGACCTCCAGGCAGCGGCCCTTTGCGCGTTCTTCCGTATTCCATCATCCATAGTGGTGGGCGTCATTTAGCGGGAGACACCCAGACTCGGCGCCGTTTCATGGTGAGGCCATGTGCACAAGCGGGCCTTTGCACCTTCAATTTTTGCCGAGGCACGGCACTAACACCTCTCGGCAAGGTGCTGACATACTGCGCTGACGTACCGGTGATGTCACATAACCGTTACGTCAGCGGGCGATGGGGTCGTCACTTCCCTACGCATTTTTATATATATTATTATTATTATTATGTGTGGGGTATCTATATAGTTTTCTCATCTGGTTGGGATGTATAAATATATAATTATAAACGAAAATGAAAAGATAAATATACATAAATGTCAATAAAATAAAATAAATACAAAAATACATAAATAAATAAAAGCCCAGCCAGATGGAAGCCCTCGGCAGGGGAGACCAAACGGCCAAGGGTTAGGGGGAAAGGGAAAGAAACCGGCGGACGATGCGGGCAGTATCAAGGAGCACCGCCTTCTGCATTTGAGCCCGGAGCGGTCCGTCACGGAGTCCCAGTCGCCTCAAATGACCAGAGAGGCTAACTGGGATTAGCCCATTCGCAGAGACGACTACAGGAATAATTTCGGCCGGCAGACCACCCCACATGTCGGTCACCTCGTGAGCCAGGTCCAGATATTTTGATTGCTTATCTGTTTCGGCTCTCACGAGGTTCTCGTCATACGGGATGGTAATATCGACCAAAAATATCCTTGACTGTGCCCGGTCCATCAGCACAATATCAGGCTTATTCGCAAGAATAGTCCTGTCTGTGATGATGGCCCGGTCCCAATAGAGCCTGGCGCGATCATTTTTGAGCACGGCTTCCGGCAAGTACTTGTAATACGGCAATTTCCGATCCACGAAACCGTACTTCAGAGCGAGCTCCTGATGTAGAATTCTGGCTACTAGGTTGTGCCTGTGCAAGTACTCAGAGTTAGAAAGCGCCGAACAACCGGAGATGACATGCCTGAGTGACTCACCGGGATGGCGACAAGCTCGACAGATGTCGATGGTGCCATCCTTTAGGTTGTTTCTCCGATAGTTGTTGGTCTTAATAACCTGATCCTGTATTGCACAGACAAAACCCTCGGTTTCCCCGAAGAGGTCACCAAAGCATAGCCAGTGGAGGGAGGTTACTGTGTCTACGAAAGGCCCATGTAGAGACTTGTAGAACCTCCCGTGGAGCTCCTTCTCCTACCATACGGTCTCCTGGTTGGAAATTGTCTTGCCATTGCACTGCCGGGTCTTGCCATTGCTCGTTGGCTAAGGATAGAGGGGTAAGTCCTTTATCACAAGAAATGACGTCCTTTTAGAATGGATCATCCGATCTCGCCAGGAAGTAATTACGGAGGCTGCACACTTCGCGATTATGCATGGTGAGTGCGCTCAAGATTTTATTATTATTATTATTATTATTATGTGTGGGGTATTTATATAGTTTTCTCATCTGGTTGGGATGTATAAATATATAATTATAAACGAAAATGAAAGGATAAATATACATAAATATCAATAAAATAAAATAAATACAAAAATACATAAATAAATAAAAGCCCAACCAGATGGAAGCCCTCGGCAGGGGAGACCAAACGGCCAAGGGTTAGGAAGAAAGGGAAAGAAACCGGCGGACGATGCGGGCAGTATCAAGGAGCACCGCCTTCTGCATTTGAGCCCGGAGCGGTCCGTCACGGAGTCCCAGTCGCCTCAGATGACCAGAGAGGCTAACTGGGATTAGCCCATTCGCAGAGACGACTACAGGAATAATTTCGGCCGGCAGACCACCCCACATGTCCGTCACCTCGTGAGCCAGGTCCAGATATTTTGATTGCTTATCTGTTTCGGCTCTCACGAGGTTCTCGTCATACGGGATGGTAATATCGACCAAAAATATCCTTGACTGTGCCCGGTCCATCAGCACAATATCAGGCTTATTCGCAAGAATAGTCCTGTCTGTGATGATGGCCCGGTCCCAGTAGAGTCTGGCGCGGTCATTTTCGAGCACGGCTTCCGGCAAGTACTTGTAATACGGCAATTTCCGGTCCACGAGACCGTATTTCAGAGCGAGCTCCTGGTGTAGAATTCTGGCTACTAGGTTGTGCCTGTGCAAGTACTCAGAGTTAGAAAGCGCCGAACAACCGGAGATGACATGCCTAAGTGACTCCCCGGGATGGCGACAAGCTCGACAGACGTCGACGGTGCCATCCTTTAGGATGTATCTCCGATAGTTGTTGGTCTTAATAACCTGATCCTGTATTGCACAGACAAAACCCTCGGTTTCCCCCGAAGAGGTCACCGAAACGTAGCCAGTTGAGGGAGGCGACTGTATCTACGAAGGGCTCATGTAGAGCCTTGTAGTACCTCCCGTGGAGCTCCTTCTCCTTCCATACGGTCTCCCGGTCGGAATTGCTAAGCACTGCTGGGTCCTGCCATTGCTCGTTGGCTAAGGATAGAGGGGTAAGCCCTTTATCACTAGAAATGACGTCATTATAGAATGGATCATCCGATCTCGCCAAGAAGTACTGACGGAGACTGCACACTTCGCGATTATGCATGGTGAGCGCGCTCAGAAAGCCACGCCCACCATACTTCCGCGGCAAGTACAGCCTCATTACCGACGATCTCGGATGATGCATCCTATGGGACGTCATGGTAGTGCGGACTTTTCTATCCAGGGCGTTAAGCTCAGTCTGAGTCCACCTGAGTATGCCAAAGGTATACATGAGGACAGGCATGACCCAGCCGTTATATGCATGTGTTTTATTCACACCGGACAAAAGGCTGTTAAGCACTTTGGTCAAGCGTGCATAAAACACGTCGCAAACTGACTGTTTCATACCAGCCTCATCGATACCGATGTTCTGTGACATACCCAAGTATCGGTATGTTTCAGCCTCGGAAAGGGTCCTTAAGTTGACGGGCATAGACAAGTCTATGCCCTCAGAGTTAGCAACCCTTCCCCTTTCAACATGGAGGACCGCACACTTATCCGTCCCCAGCTCCATTCCAATGGAACTGCTAAATTCACAAGTGATGTTTAGCAGTTCCATAAGATGGGAGCGACTGGAAGCGAATAACTTGAGGTCATCCATATAAAAAAAGGTGGGTCACTTTTGTCCCTCCTTTCCGTAGCTGAAATCCCCTCCCGGAGCCCTCCAGTAAGGTACTGAGAGGGTTAAGAGAGAGGCAGAACCAGATTGGACTCAGACAATCGCCCTGGAAGATACCCCTTCTTATCCTTATGTGGTTCTCCGCAGCCGTCATCCGCTCGCCCAGATGACAAAGGATCGTACTCCACTGCCCCATACACTGCTCGAGGAAGTCTCTAACTGTACAGTCAATCTTGTACAGCTCGAGGACCCTCTTTAGCCATGTATGGGGCACCGAGTCGAACGCCTTTCTGTAGTCTATCCAGGCGGCAGAGAAGTTCCGACGGTTGCGTTTCACCACTTTGCCTATGACCGCGTCAATGAGGAGTGGTTCCTTAGTTCCACGACCACCGCCCCGACATCCATTTTGAGCGCGTGACATCACCTGGTTTAGCTCCAGGTGACGAGTGATTCTCGCGCTCAAAATGGATGTCAGTGTCTTATATATGGTGGGTAGACACGTGATGGGGCGGTATTTGCTCGGGTCTGTGGTATCCTGATCTTTAGGAACCAAGTGAGTGATCCCAGTAGTGAAGAGGCTCGGGAGTGACTTCTGGTCGAGAGCCTCTTGAAACTGTCGGGCGAGCACAGCGTGACACACTACGAACCCCTTCAGCCAGTAATGATGCAGCCCGTCGAGCCCCGGACTTTTCCAGTTCGGGGCCCTACGGACCGCCTCAGCCACGTCTTCTGGCGTTATGGTGATGGGGTCCATAGGCGTAACAGTCGCACCCTGGCTCGCCACAACTTCCATCCAAGGGCCCTCACTGTGGTTTACGGGCTCTGACCACAGGCCACGCCAGAATGCGATAATGTCAGCCTGATCCGGTCCTTGGCCCGCTCCACATACCTTTGGTCGCTCCAATAATTTATAGAGCCTCTTCTGATCACTCTGGAAGAGACGATTCTGGTTGAACCGCCTTGACCCCTCGGAAAATCGTCGAATCCGCTTCCCCCAAGCAGCGATCTTTTTGCTTCAGGTCGTCTATGCGCTCCGTTAGTTTCTGCGTGATATCCGGCTGGGACAAACTGATATTTGTCCCAGCAAACGCCATCCTAACGGTGCGCATAATCCTCGGTCTATTATTACCCGACCTGAAGCTTGTCAGTCTGCCGATAAGGGCCCTTGCCTTTGCGATACGGTCCTCGATTCTTTTCCTCCAGGCTGGGATGGCGTTACTTTGTGTAGTAGCGCGTCCAGCCATGGGTAGTTTGGCGCCAATAATACGGCAAACTGCCACTGCGGCGCCAAAGAGAATCGAGTCCGTCTCGCAAAGGTCCCGGCTGGCTTCCAAATAGGTCACCAGCATTGGGTTAAGAGCCCTCACGACAGCCCGATTTCGCTTGCTTAAGGGTATGCGGGGGAAGTCGCGGTCGATTTTCGAGAGGGGTGCTGCGCGTTTCCAAAATCGCCTCTTCCAATATACTCCTCATTTGCTCTAGTTCGTGGGAGACTATTTCATCGTCGTTCGAATCAACCACAACTGGAAGATCCATGGCGGCTTCCACGTGTGGATGCTGGTCTGTCGAATGTGGAGCTGCATCTCCAGCCATAGCCGACTCATTCGACGACGGAATAGCCTCACGTCGTAGTCGTTCGAGTTCGGCATCATCAAATATTTTCGAGCGCATGATGTACCGAACTCGGTCTGCCAGGTTTTGTTCCGTGACGGGGATAGACGGCTCCAGCTCAGCAAAAAAGCAATGCATCCGAGACCTATACGCTATTCCCACAGTTTCTTTCCCTTTCGCCCTATAGTACGCCCGCAATGCGTTTTCGTTCATGGATTTTGTCCAACGCATGCGACGTGCTCCACCAGCGGCGGGTGCCGCTTGCTGGGTCCGAGAAGACCCAGCCGACACCAAGCCTTCTGGTGGGGATGATGGATGCGAGGGGCTGCTAGGTGATCGTGCAGCTCCTCGCGCTCGGCTGGCGGCCCGCATGCTGCCGCGTCCAGCGCCAGCTCCAGACGCGCCCCGGCGACCCCCAGGCAGCGGCCCTATGCGCGTTCCTTTTTGTATTTCTTCCATCATCCATTTTATGGGCGCCAAATAACGGGAGGCGCCCAAGCCCGGCACCGTTTCGTTGTTGGGTCATATGCACAAACGGACCTTTGCATCTACAATTTTGCCTAGGCACGGCGCTCACACCTCTTGGCAGGATGCTGACTGACTGCGCCGACGTCGCAGTTTTGTCACATAACTGTTACGTCAGCGGGCGATGGGGTCGTCACTTCCCTACGCCTATTATATTATTATTATTATTATTATTATTATTATTATTATTTGAAATACTTTCAAACACTCAAACATAAACTTCAAAAGAGACCTACGCTAGACAGAATGTTCGCTTCGACGTCACAAAGAAATGATGATGGTTTGCGGGCGTCTTACAATATCTCGTTACTTATAGCAAAATCCGGAACACCGCATACTATCGGAGAGAAGTTAGTTTTGCCAGCCGTTGAAGAGGTTTTTAAAAACTGTTTTACACAAACCTGCATCTGATATCATTAAAAGAATTTCCTTAAGCAACTATACTGTTGAAAGACTTATTGATGAAATGAGTTCTGATATTGAAAGCTTCTTATGTAATTATTTGCAAATGACCCATTTCTCTATACAAATAGACGAGTCAACTTTACCTGATAATGCAGCATTATTATTGGCATATGTTCGTTTTATTATGAATCAATAAATCTACGAAGAACTGCTCTTCGCAAGAACTTTGATAACCGACACTAAAGGTGAATCAATATTTCATATTTTGAAGGGTTACTTCGTTGAAAAAGCAATTCCTTTGTCAAATATAATATCAGTAGCTACAGATGGAGCACCTGCCCATGGTTGGGCGTTATCGTGGATTTATAAGCTATTTAAAACAAAATGTGTCAGGGGTGTTAGCAATACATTGCGTCATCCATCGACAACATTTAGTTGCTAAAAATTTGAGTATTAGATTGCATGAATCACTTCATTTAGTCATTGATGCAGTAAACCGAATCCGAAGCAACGCGTTGAATACCTGGTTATTTGCGCAGTTGTGTGAAGAAAATGACGAACACTTTCATCAATTACTCCTTCACACTGAAGTACGCTGGCTGTCGAAAGGCTTATGTTTGACAAGATTTTTTGCACTTTTTGAGACTATTTTAGAATTTCTGGATACTAAAGATAAAATTTTAAAAGAAAATTTAATGAAGAGGAAAACAGACATCGCCTATTTAATAGATTTGTTTACAAAATTTAATATGGTTAATTTGAAATTACAAGGCGACAGTTTAAATTTGATTAAAACAAAGTCCATCACATCAGCGTTTCTTGCCAGAGTTAAACTAATGAGGCAAAATATTGGACGGGACAAAGGGGAACGCCCATTTTCGGCCATGGAACGCCTAACAATGTGCATTTGTTAAAAAATTATATTTTTATTTATGGTTATTAATCGCGGTATTCGTTTATCCTCAAACAATGGGAATATTTTTGCACAAATTAAAAGTACCGAAAAGATAATAATAAAAATTAGGTAGATCATTATGTCATTAGTTTGTGAATAAAAAAGTGTTGCCAATCACAAAACACATTTAAAAAATCGATTCTCTTTTTCGATCGATTATTTACGGTGTCATCATTACAGTACTAATATAATTTTTAAATAATTATTATGTTATGATAATTAAACAAGCGAATTACTAGTTGATTTCCAATGAATTCTTTAGAGAGTAACAAAACGCTACGGCACAATTTTACTGTTAATCTTAACCGATCTTCTTTGAAAACAGATAAGAACTGTTATTCTTATCTGTTTTCAAAGAAGATCGTTAAGTTATTCCTATCTGTTTATAACAATACATTTAAAATAGAATCATGTTATGATAACGAAACAAGTTAGTTTCCAGCTGATTTACCACGAATCCTTTAACCTTTTGAGCGCCAAAGTCACCTATACTTGACCAACACCTGCGGGCCCCGAGCGCCAACGACGTCTATAGTTGACAAAAAACCCGGCTCTCAAAAAGTGAAATATAGATATTGGAAAATTATTACAGGTATTTTAATTCTACACTCCTCAAAATAGGAATAACCCAGCAACATGTGAGTATAAAAAACAAGTCTTCTAGAGCCACAAGTACTAAGAAACATTGAATTAATAAAAATTGATTTTTATCTATGTCCAGCATGCCAAAGTCGTCTATGGTTGACCGCTAATGTCAAACGCGGGAAGCATAGATTTTTTGAAAACTATCCAAAATTCAGCTCAATGGTGTTTTTTTTTCTATTATTATTATTGATATTTGAATAAAATTAAAGGTTAGAAACATAAAACTATAATTAGCTACATGAATAAAAAAATGTTATCAGATCATCTTCGCATAATAAATCTAATATCTCAACTCTAGCGCATCTTTAGCGCGTTATCGAAAATCAGTTCACTGGGCACCGTGACCAAGGATAAACGACACCCTGATGATTTTTATATTAGTAGTATAGTTGTAGCACGAATGGGTCGGCTCGACCGGGGAAGGACCACGCTCTCACAGAATACCAGCGTGAAATAGTAGCTTAATGCTGCTGTATTTCGTATGGTGAGTGTAGAGAGTAGAACCGGAGACCCTTTTTACTGGAAATGAGGCATTCCATCTCAGTCCTCACGGGTGACAACGCATCTGCATTTTGATTTATAATGGAAGATAGATGTAGATGTCTATGGGCCGCAGCAACCACTTACCATCAGGTGGACTGTGTGCTCGATTCTCACCCTATTCTATAAAAAAAAAATAAGTGATTACCGAGAAAAGTAGAGCAATGCAACTTGAACGATTCCTCAGAACTCATTCGGATTTTGGAAAGCGTCGATGATGATGAATTTTGATTTTTGATTGATGAATTGAATTTTTGATTGATTGGTGAACAATTATGTTTATTTATTCCATGACCAAGATTTTAATATTATAAGACTGATTTACCTAGTGCGAATAATTATATACAATTGATGATTAATGAATAATTTTGTACCTTTTTTAATAATAATACAAAATTACAATTAATTTTTTTTTACTTAAGGTGTGAAGAGCAATTTTTCATTTTGTGTTGTGCCATTTTCTTTCTCAGTCTCAAAATCATCTAGCAGCATCAGCATCATATCAAATCCCCATTGTCATAAGAGTGTAAGACTTTTCTTCTGTGCTTCACTTGGTCTACGCCTTCCCCGACACATAAAATATTATGAATCGATGTCTGTATATTTCGGTTAGATCGATTTTGAAATCGATACACAACATTCTAAGAATGTTTAAAAAAGGAAGGTCAGCTACGCCGTTGTCGTCCAGTCGTGACAGTGTCGTCATTAGAATGGAGAGTAGTGCTGTGGTTTACTACTATTTTATTGTTATTGTTTGTTTTTATTTATGTTTATATGTACAAAGTACATATATAAAAAGAGTGGATGACAGCACAAGATTAAATAAAACATACAGTTTATAAATAGTCATTTATAGCATAAAAAACCAACAAAAACAAGTTATTTTACGTTATCGATATATCAACTCTTGGCAACACTATTTTATTTTGGCGCTTTGGCGTACAGGACACGGTAATGCGTTTTTGGCGTGGCGCTCAAAAGGATAAAGCTTAACAAAACGCTACTGCACAATTTAACTGTTCTTCAAAATGCATTTCAAATAGCATTTAAATAAATAAAGGAAAATATATTTTAAAAAAGTGTGCAGAACTTAAAGCACCTCAAAGATTTTTTAACGATATTATTAATCGAATAAAAATCGATATCTTTTCATCGATTTTATGTCAGTTAAGTGGCAACATCGAGTCTGACAGCTAGGCCCTGTCATGGAATGAAATCACAATTCAGTTCACAATTCACATTTCACAACTATATCTATACCTATATAAATAGTCACATGTAGAATTCATTTGCGTGTTACTTTCTTTGTTTTTATTTTTGTGAATTTGTTATCGAAGTAACGAACTAGCCTTATAAATGAACTCTGACATTTTTTCCCATCATATAGCGAAAACACGAAGGCATTTGTTGGAAATCCAGAACTGCGAAATCTTATACAAGAATAGGTTCGACCACAGCAGGTAAATAGTTACAATCATGTGTCATGTCTTCTTTTTCGTCATTCTACAATTGCGGCAATGCTTATTAACTGATTGTCTTATAATTATAACAATTGATATAATAATTATGGCTTCTTTATTAGGTACAAGTTTCGAGTGATTGTGTAGTATGCCACGCATGTTAAGACTGCAGCCTGGAATCAAATACGACATCCAACTAGCGAACAGGAAAATTCACCAATTAATAGTCATGGACATGTATGTATCAGCTGTGGCAAGTCACTTTTGAGAATAAGATCACACACATTGTTTGGGTCTGATTCTCCACGTGAGGAACTCATAAGGAATGAAATTGCCCATCAAATTGCACCACGTGAGGTACGTGTTCAACATTTTTTAATTTATTAAGTGTGTGTGCTCATATCTGATAGTGATACATGTTTTTACTCTGATTACATCCACACAAACTATATCTGACAATCATACAAGCTTATTTATAACATGGCGATAAGATTAGCTTGTCACCACCAGATAGACTGCTACCGTTTTTACCAACTACCAAGTAATGAGACAATTGATTTTTCATTGTTTTTGGACTACTGGTAGTTTTTAAGTGCTTAATTATTAAATAATATAGGCCATTAAGTCTGCTTTTGTGCAGTAACAATTAACTTGATAAATATTTTATATGTATTTGAGTTTAAAGGAAACAAATCTATTTTATTTTTATTTAGTTCACTTTTTCACTTTTTTATTTAATATTATTTCAGTTGCCATCGTCATCTCATGTGTGTCATAATTGTTGGCGAAGGTTTGATAGAGCAGCATCACATTCAACTGCAGAACGGGAACCATCTGAATTATCTAGTTCATCCTCGTTGCAATCTGAACTCGGTAATGTATTGCACCCAGATTCAAACATTCTAATTTCAATAGAGAATGAAGCTGGG